AAAAATTCTCTCTCGGAAGAGGGGAAAAAACAGACAATAACGTTTAAAGAAGCTGCAATTTAGAAATAATTTCTTGCTGTAAAACTAATAAACATAAAAGGGACTAGGTAAAAGTAACAGAGTTCTTTGACTTTATTTTTTTCCTCTTGTTGATTTATCTTGAGGTTACTTTTAGGGATTGAGTTGTCCTGTGGTTTACAATGTTTTAAAGTAAATGTGGACTGTGAGTTTAAATGATATCTTTGGAATTAATAGAAAAACATCAAATGATATGGCCTCGGGTGAATGAAGAATAAACCAGATACAAACAAAACACTTGTGTTTAGACTAACCACACTAACACTCCCGTGTGCAGTTAGTTTTAAATTCATTGCTTTGAAGTTTGGTTTACTTTAGATAGTTCACTTAATCCTAAGAAGGCCCCCTAACACTGTAAAACCCACATATATGTATTGAAAACAGTAAATGTTTACTGTTTTCAATTTGATTAAATGTATTCTCCTCCCTTGGTTTTCAAGGATGAAGTGTTAAATGTCATGGCTCTTTTTAGAAGAGCTGAAAATAACTTCTGGCTGGACAGCAGGTGCCCTGTGTTTTTCTCCAAGTTCAGGGGAAGCATAAGTTATATATAGAGCTTCCAGCAAGTAGGCCTCAGGAAGAAGACAACGAAGCTGTTCACTGCATGGCTGGATAACAAAGTTGGTGAATTAAAATGAGTGAGAGAAAAAAAGTACTTCCTGCGAGGTTAATGAGTACTTGGTGAGGGCCACAAATGGGTGGCGAGGTCTGTGTGCTGAATTTTCCACTCTTGCTGGCGTTCAAGCTTTTGACACCTTCTGCCCTGACACCAGCAGCAGGAAGCTATGCAATGCAGGGAGCAGTAGATTTTTGTTTTTGCTTTCATGCCACCACCACAGCAGAACCTGTGCATTAGGAAGACCATGTCATATTCTTATGCTTCTAATTAGCAGCATTGCCATTAATTATTGTTCACAAGTAACAGCTCCAAAACTTAAAAGTCCAAAGCCAAATCAATTGCATCCCAAGGTATGGTGATAGCCAGAAACCCTGGAATCCTTGACTCAGCTCATCCCTTCCCCACTATTTCCAAAGAGCCCGTATTGTATCTGGATTATTTGCCTAGTTTATTCACTCCTTGCTCATTAAACATTGCTATTTCTTAAAAATAATGAATTTATCCTAGAGTTTCTTGACTGAGAAAAGAAAGTTGTAGTCTTTTTTTTTCTAAAAGAAAGTCAATTTTTATATTGAAACAGAAAACTGTTACAGAAATTTAAGGAATTATTATTTATAATCATCACCATGTTTCCATACTAATTCATCATTTTATACCATCCCTCATTCTCTGCCTTCCAAAAATGATGCCAATTTGAACCTCAGAAAAAGCGTTTTGCTGATTGATAATTACATGTTGTTCATCTGGGAAAAGGAAAACACCAGAAAAGGAAGGAAGCATTTCCTGTATCCAGTATAATAATTCATTTATGCCGGTGTACCCATATTCATCAAATCTTCATTTATGGGTTAAAATAGAGTTTAGGAATGTTATTGTTATGCATGATTTTAGTAAGTTCCATGGCTATTGTTCGAAATGTTTTAACTTTGAAGAAAAACTACTTCAAATTTAAATGTTTTAAACATAGACATCCATGCACTTTCAATGATTGTACATCTACATAGACTAATGTAAGAAAAAGAGAACACAAACTGGCCGTACTAAGCAATATGGCAAACATGGCCGTGAAAAACAATACAGTGAATGACTCTGTTAATGTCAATAACAGGAGATACTACTGGAATTTAAAGACCAAAGCCAAAAAATATGCTAATAGTCTGAATTAATTTGGAAAAATGACTTCCCACTGTTTCTAACTAATTGCAATACCAGCAGTTTGTGAAAGTACATTCATTCTATGTTAGAAACTGTAATTAGTAGGTGCCCATTTGGGATATCCTGACCATTTGCACATAACTGGGTTAACTACATAAAACCTGACTGCTTCCCACCAGGTACTACTTCCAGTATGGAGAAGAATCACTCTGGACAGCTCTCTGGGGAACCCCAGTCTGCACCTCCAGGGGACAAGTCGTCATTACCCAGTCAAAATGGCCTGACAGCACAAGAGGATAAGGATTATTCAACCACATTGCAAGCACCAGAGAAGGAAGCAGGTGCGCAGCCAGAACAAGGAGCTCGTGATATCTCTGAAGAGTTAAACCGCCAACTGGAAGACATCATCAACACATATGGGTCTGCTGCCAGTACAGCAGGGAAAGAAGGTCCCACCAGGGCCAAGGAGCAGCCTGAGGACACAGAACCACCAGACAATGAGGACAGGGACTGTGATGAGGCTGCCGAGGAGACTGAGAGGGAACCCACGGCTTCTGGAGAGCCACTCGCAGCCAAAGAGCCTACCAGTAATAAAGAGCAGAAGTTGGAAAAGAAAATCCTTAAAGGATTAGGCAAGTTGTTATGTTTTAACGTATGACTTCTCTTTGCATTATTCCTTAAAAGGGCATTTCCCCCAACCTTGACTAAAAGCCACATCCAATGTTTGGATTACTATAATAGCTGTCTTCAGGGTCTCCCTACGTCTCTTGCTGCACTTGTTCCCAACTGCTTCCCCTCAGTTGAACTCCTGTGAGCTTTGCAACATGTCACCCACCTTCCCTCTATCCCCGGTGGTTTCCCATTGCTCTCAGGACAAGGACCAGAATTCTTAACGTGGTCTTTCAGGCCCTCATGGTCTAACCCAAGACAGTCTCTCCAGCTTTACCACCACCATGCTACCCTACTACATCCCCTTCCTGAGCACTCTGCCCCAATCCCACCACTACTGCTTCTGCCAAATAGCTGATCATTCTGATCTACTCTTTCAGTTCTTTAAACATGCCTTGCTCCATCCACTACAGAGCCTATGCGCATTCTATTTTCTCTATCTAGAAATCCCTACCCCTTCCCCAATTCAGTCCTTTGGGCCCTTAATCTTTTAGCTCACAACTCAAAATGGCATTTTATTAGCCCAACCCTAGATAAAGTCTTCCATTTTCTGTTTCTATTGTACCATGTATCCTTCCTTCCTAGCGCTTATCAGCATTTGGGAGTGCACATTTTCTTTTGTGATTATTTGGTTAATGCAGGTCTTCCCTCTAAGCTCTTTTATCCCAAGAGCAGAGGCTGTGGGTGTATTTGGATATCACTGGTCCTAGTTACTGGGACAGTGGATGGTCCATCCTAGGTGCTAAGTAAATATTTTTCATAAGGATGACTGAATGAAAGGGAAATTGTTTAAAGCAAAGCTAGTGAAAGCTGGATTTAGATAGGGATGGTTTTATATATAAAATGATTATCACTTAGACCAATTAATATAGGCCATTACTACATAAAATTTTTTTATTTAACAAACTCTTCAGAAATGTATCGATTATAGAAGGTCAAAAATTTTTACTCTCATTACTTCATTGGTTCAGCAAATACTTATTAATACTGGATCTTTTTGAGGCACTGTAGTAAGTGCACAAAGATAAATAAGTCGTTATGGTGCCTTGGTTAAGGAGTTCTAGGTATAGAGACAAAAACAGATCTAGAAATTAATTTTTGTATAGGATTAAGTGCAAGAACAGGTACAGGAAAATTGTTTAGGAGAGCATGGAGGATGGGTAACACCAAAAATGCCATGAAAGAAGGGTGAGTGAGTTAATTTTTTAGCTACTAGTGAAAGCATGTCACTGCCCACACAAGGGTCCCTCTGCCTGTCTTCCTTGATGAATTTCACCATTTCATTCCTCTGAACACCATCAGCATGTTCTTCTAACCACTGCACTATTGCAACTACATTATAAGCTACAAAACAAGACATTTTTAGGCTAATTGAAATATGTATTTAGCATTTTAAACATTATGTTAGTTGTCTGCAGGTGTGTTTAGCAGGCTTCTTGGCTATTTATCAATTAAATAGCACTGCATTATCATCTAGACCAATGGTTTTCAAATCTAACTGTGCATTAGAATCAAAAGCAGACTTGGTCAAAAATGCTGCTCTGGAGCTAGAGATTCAGAATTGATAAGTCTGCACTGTTGCCAAAGCACCCAGGGTAATTTTGGCACAAACAAAAATGAACTTACTCACTGTCCTTCTTTCACAGCCATGTTTAGTGTTACCTGTCCCCATACCCTCCTTACAATTCCATTGCTTCACGAAGTGCCTCCTCCACCCTTTCAGAGAAAGAATCTATTTGGATCTTTCAGAGAATTTTAGTAAATCTTTCCTCCATCATCTGAAGATACATCCTTAGGCTTTGCTTAGGTACTTGATCAGATGAGTCTTTAATTATTGTGTGTTTATGAGATAACATTTGCTTTACTGGTATTTTTGAGATGCTGAAATATTCTGACTCTCTAACCCAAAGTTTTCCCTAGTTTATATTTTAGGACACTTGAGATTTCCAAGTTCAAGTTTCCTTACTGCCAGACTTCTCTGACCTTTTACAGAATAAAAATCTCCAATACTGATGGGCATAATGTACATTTCCAATACTAATTGGACTAAAAACACCCCCCTTTCATAGGACACCTTTGAATATTTGGAAAAAGTCTTTGCAACCCAGGCACTCAGGGCTTGGGTTTCCTTGAGAAGCTACACATCCCCCCACAATCAACGCACTATACACAGGAGTCACTGAGGGAACATTTTAAAATCTGTTTAGGTGGGAGAGACTTTCTCCTTGGCATCTGAACTGAAAAGAAACAAAAACAGATTCCCCTTTAGACAGCACCATAACACACCCCATTAACATTTTAAACACCCCCACTCCTTGTTTCCCTCCCTCCTTCCTCCAGGCTCACAAATGTCTTATTAGTCACTTCTCTACCAACATTATGTGGGCCTCACAAGCACCCCATACTAAGAAGCACAAAACAACGATAAAATATAATATGCCTTCTGATATTTAGGTTGATGACTGATTGAGTAGGAAATCATAGGTTTGAAGCATAAGCCTGGGAGGAAAACAAACCTGATCCACAGGTTCATTCCAAGCTCAGAATCCATCTAGTCAACCCAGTAATTTTATAGACAGGAAAATTGTAGCCTACAGAGTTGAAGAGTCTGCAAAAAAAAGGTTACTCAACTGGTTGATGTGATTGTGAGGTGAGTCATAAAGAATGCAGAGGGCAGAGATGAAGTCACTAATAGGGCAGGGCCAGAGAGATATAAAAATAATTGGTATATTTGTTTGAGGAGCATTTACCAAAGATCGGTTAGTGGGGTTTGGTTCTTGAGTTACGGGTGAGTTTCAGGTCTGCCGGCTAAGGGGCACCTTGACTAGGACACTGGCATTTCCAAATGTCTTCAGACAATGATTTACTCACGCTACCTCCGACTAGGCACTTCCTCAGGTGTTCTGTTTCATCCATTTTAGCTCCATTTCTAGGTTCACTGTAGGAGGGGAATAAACAGTTGTTTTGATATAAATACTAAATTTTTTGGAAGAGATGATAGGAGATGGGAAAGAGGAATCAGCAAAGACCCAACAGTTTCATGAGCAGATTCATCAGGAAGCTAGAACTTAGGCCAGATCCTGGGAGGAGAGGAGAGTTTAGAGAACAGCAGAGGAAAATATATCTTGAGCAAAATTATTAGTACTGTCCTCCTGAACAGAGTTGGGAATGGGCGTATTCATTTCTTACTGCTCTTTCTGGTGTTTTCTTTTTTATTATAAGGTTTTGCTTTATTTTGTTTTCCCTGGAATAATCTCCTCATTATGAGATGTGAAGCTTTCTTTCTAAGAATGTTTTCTTTATAGTTATAGCCAAGAAATTGGTAATAGTTTAAACATATCATCAACTGGCCTAATAAGAAGTCCAGATCCACTCCCCAACTGAGACACTGAAATTCCAAATACATATAACAACATCACTAAAACACATACAGGGAAGGCAGTATTTGCAAAACTGATAGAGTCATGAAAACCAAACCAAACAAACAGAAACCCAACTATGAGAGATTCTTGAATAAGTTTCAAAGTATACAAAAACATTTGGGAAGGCAAATAGACCATCCAAACAATGTTATTTTTGTTGTGTTATCTGAATCAAGCTAAACATGGTTAAAGCTATTCCAGTTATGGAATCATCACATCTTAAAGGCTGAACTCAGAAACCACTTAGTCAGCCCACTAGTTTTATAGACAAGAAAATTGAAGCCCAGAGAGTTTTAAGAGTCTGTAAAAAAGGTTACTCAGCTAGTTGATGGCAGAAGTCAGGATCCCTACCCTGAATCCAGTGTTAATTTAACTGTACTATAGCTCCTTTCTACAGACATGTATCTTAGTTCCCTTAAATGATCTTTCCTTTAAAAGTACAGATAGCAGGAATTACATGGATCATGTTCATTATTTTTCAATTATGTTAGAAAGAAAACAAAATTACAGATGGAAATATGAATCTGGGTCTGACATTTGAAAGAGAATATTCACAGTCTTTTCAGGTTTTAAGCTTCTGCCACAACACGTCAGAATCTGGAAGGGAAAAGAGAGACTCACATGTGGATTCAAGACCAACTTTTAGCCCCAAAGTTCTAGCAGGGGATTTTGAAAGAGGAAAGAGCAAAATTTCAACGATTCATTAAAACTGCATAAACTTAATATAAATAGTCCTCACTATGCTTATAGTTTAAGAAAAATCCCAGTCCACTTCATATAACCAATTCATTGTTTTCATGTAAGCTTTTCAATTTCTTTGATGTAAAAATAATTCCTTCATATTCCAATACTTCTTCAGCCTACAGCTGTACCACTGTATTCGTGACATGGCTGTTCTTGCTGCACAGGTGGGCCTGCTTCCGTGTAGATGTGCCACTGAACTGTGTACTTTGTGACTTCCCCCAGCCTTTCTGGGGACTTAGATCTGTCCCTTGCTTTCTTTATGACCAGTCTCACAATCACATTGCTTTAGAATGACACACTGGAGAGAAGGCAGGTCATCCCCTCTCAATAAAATGTCCCTGATTAAAGTTAATTGTCCTTTTCCTGTCTAACACTGTCACCAAATGACCCCATTTCTGTGGAATTGTAATTACAGCCTTTCTTAAAAGATGAGCATGTCTCTATCTATTCCCCTCCTCCATGATAATCCCATACAGCACTCTAGTCCCACCAAACCAACAGAAGTTCGAAAACTAAGTTCACTGATGTCACAAATGTATGAATTCTGCACTACCTGTCTCCCAACTTTTTGGATTTTTGTTGTTGTGGACAGGAGAATGATTTTTGAAGGGTGGATTGGTGCTTCTGAATATTAACCTTCTATATAAAACAAAAATAAGACAGCAGAAAGAGACCTCAGAGAGTGTGATGATTAAAAATAAACCACCATCTTCTCACAGTTAAAGAAAACAAAAAAGGAGAGAAGATACTTAATGTGGGGAGAAAAAGAGACCCACCGGACTCACTCAAATGTTTCCACCTCCCCCCGATGAGACACACGATGGTTTTGTATGTCATTACACACATGGAGAGATGCCCTAGGCATATGTTAAATGTGACAGGTGAAAGCAAGACCTGCCTTTCCTCCTGTCGATCACAAATCTGTCTTCAGGTCAGTGTTCATTTGATTTACATGATACTGATGTGCTCAGGCTGGCTTTGTTTTGTTCCATTGCTACCAACCCTTTTCTGAGCACTTGCCATGGGCCAAACACTGTGCTGAGTCGTGGGCCAAATCTGACCCCCACTACAGTCTCTTCCTTTAGCAGATGGCACTGTACCTCAGGCCATCAGTCTTCAACTGGGCAACTTCTACAGACTGAAGGCAAGGGTGAAGGGACGGCCTGACCAAGGCAGGTCCATCCCTGCTGCTGGAGAAAGAGCCCAAAGCACAGGCCCAGGGGGACACGCAGCAGGGACTAGCAGCAGCGCACTCTGCCGTGGTCGGTGACTGCAGAGCTGGTAGGGCTCCGCGCACCCTCACCTCCTCCCCTGTCTTAGGCCATGTCTCTAATCAGAACTGGCTCAAGAGACAAAGATGGACAAAACCAGCTGTTAGGAATGAGGTCATTTTTTAAATTTCCTTTTACTCCTCTAGGTTTCTTTGGCATCAGAATTCCACATGGGAGTGGAGTGATTTAGAGCAAGTAGACAGACCTCGGATCCAAGCCTTGGCTCTGCCCGTGCTGATTACATGGCTTTGGACTTCTCTGGGCCTTAGATTCTTAAACAATTAAATTAACCAGTTGTCTGGATACTCTTTGAAGTTCCTCCTAGGCTTAAAATTCTATGATGTCATTAGAGTTACCAAATTAAGCAAATAATGGTACTGGAAGCCCAGGGGAATTTGAATTTCAGATAAACAACGCAAATTTTTTTAAGTACGATCATGTGCTGTGTCCTGTATTTCATCTGGCAACTCTAATTCCATGATTTATCTGCCTCTCCAGGATGAAAGCAAATATTCTAGCAAAGGGGAAATGCCAGTTCAGGGGGGAAAAGTTTTCAAAGCTGTTGACCTTCTTAAACAAATTTATGTCAGGAAATGTGCGCCCCCTGCTCTAACTGGACAGAGTGGTTGTCACTCTGTCCCACCTTGACTGGACTGTTTGAAAAGATAGAATCCTCGGTATTTGTAGGCCTCAGAGGTATCTGTGGGCTCCTCCCTCCCAACACTATCCCAATGGCTGCTTACAGACAAGATTTCCAAGCCCACAGACAGGAAAACAGGGCAGCCTGTGCCAAAAAGACCAAAGGAAGAACAATGGAGAAAGAAAAGAAAGACTCCAGAGCTCACCATCAAATAATCATGAACTAAAGAGTTTTAAAATGCAGCATAAACTCCCATTGGGAATGGAAAATGAAACTGCCAACAAAGCTTAAGGCCCCAGTGGGAAAAGGGAAGGCCTAGGAAGGTTGAACCCGTTATCACAGACACAAAAAGGCCTGTGCAAAAGCTTTCTATGTCTTGGCTCCATTTTCCCTCTATATTAATTTTATTCTCTGCTAGGTAGGAAATATGATCAAAGTTATTCCTACCCAAACCTCATGGAATGGAGACTCACACATAGAACAAGAGAACTGTTTCCTAAAAAAAAGAAAGAGGAAAGGTATGAAAAGAACAAGAAGTACAACAAAAAATTGTTAGATCAGACCATCAACTTTCTCTGCTCTGGGCTGGAATTCTAGCAACTCCACATATCAATGCCAACTATGTCATGATTATCAGAAAGTTTGATTGGCTATTTTGCTTCCTTTTTTATTAATTAACATGGGAAAATGGGTGATTTATTCTTTCATCAAGTCGATGTTTTTATTACTTTGAATGCCTTCAAAATACTTAAAATTCTTTGGAATGTTTAGAATATGGAGTGAAACTAACAAGAATGGATTCTTGAGGTGAAAAGTTAGAGAATACTGTGTTAGTAGACATTTATTGAGCATCTGCCATGAGCCAGACACCAAACCACACATTTTCATGAACTTCTCAACTGATCCTCACTCCGTACAGTAGGTGTCATCCCTTCTTATGGGAAAAGAAAATTATATCTGAGGCTCAGATAGGTTAAGTGGCTTGGCCAAGTTTGGATAGGACATAGGAAGTAGACAATCTGAGATGCCAGCCTTTATCATCTGACCTCAAATTCAATGGTTATTTTTTTTTTTAATGTGCTATGGTCTTTGTTTCTTTTTAGGCAGAGAAGCCAACCTGCTAATGCAAAATCTGAACAAGTTGCAAACATCTGAAGAAAAGCTTGATTTTCTATTCAAGAAGTATGCTGAGTTGGTAAGATCTTTGATTAGCTCATTTTTTGGAAAGCTTTGGGTGCTGGTTAGAACTGAGAAAAGGAGGCTGTTCGATTTTCAACTACTTCATTACAGACCATGGCTGGTTACCTCAGACAAGAATTCATAAGGCAGAATTTTTTTAAAGAAAAAAGAAACAGAAAATCAGGCATAACAGCAAAAAGAAGAAGGAGGATAGAGCTGGAGTCCACTTCACTTTCAATTATGTTTATATTTGGGAAGATGGAAGAATGACCAATAATTGAAAACTATGGATATTGTAAAATTCTCTTTGGCTTTGCAATAAAACAGAAATACATTCAATGTACAGGCAAACTTTGATTCAGTTTTTGTTCCTAGGTGTTTTGAGGGGGACCCCTCGGGAAGGCAGAGGGTTCAGCTAATCCCACCCCTCAGTTTATGACACAGTCTCATTTGGTCTTGATGACTTTACTCATTCATTCATTCATTCATTTATTCACTGCCTTACAGTCTTCTCTGCCTCCCCCACATTGGAAAGCATGTGACGTGGATTGCTTTGTGTCCAGTTCTAGGTCCTCCCCAGACAGTCTCCATGTCTATAAAGTGAGAGCCACTAGGAGGAAGGGAACCCACCCCCAGACATCAGGGAATCCATGTGTGGATTGTCTCCATGCTGGCACTCCTACAATGCACAGCTGGGAAAAGGGAGAGGGCTCAGGGAAGCCAGCATCTCAGGTCCTGGTGAACCCCCTCGCAAACACCCACTAAGGGAGTGGCATCTGAGGTCTGTGCACTACACACCCTGGGTATTTGAGATCCACAGCTAAGATGTGGCATCCTCACAAGTGGCACTAAGCAATGTGCTTCTTTTTCATTTACGCTTCTTTTCCTTATAAAAATTTTTTTCCATGTACTTATTTCTTTGGAGAAGTGGTGGCAGGGGAAAGAAACTTAAGTCCACATACATAGCAAAACAATTCCTCAGGGCCTCCCACCTGCATGGACCCCTGTAAAATCCAGGACACAATTCTCTACTCTTAATTTTCTTTTTCTAACAAAAAAGAGCCTCCAAAACTGAATAGGATTCAGGCCCACAAACTCTTCAGTTCCCTGGCTGCATCTTCTTCCTATTGATGAAGTAGTTTCATGAGTGATTTGTTTTCTTCTTCCCTCTCACTTCAGTACTATAATCCTCATTTGCTCTTTTTCTTCCTTTTACCTTGATGCATCCTGTTAAGCTGAACTTTCTGCAATAGACCCAGAGAAATCTGAAACCCTGGTAGGCTGCCAATAAAACTTCTAAATTATGTTTTAATCACATACACAACGTCATGATGATATAAGACAAATGCTGAATATATAACACAACTAAAAATATATCTAATCCTGTAATCTAAAACACAACTTCTGATTTATACATCTTTCTTTTCCAGCTCTGCTATATACACTTTTTGTTGTTGTAATCTTTTATCTTTATAAGGTAAAGTAAGCAAATATAAAGTACACAGGTTGATGCGTTTTCAGCGATGTGCAGATACCTCTCACTACTGCCCAGGTCAATATATGACACCCATTACCCCAGAAAGAGGCCTCCTCTCAGACAACTTCCTCAGCTCAGGAGTACCTCTTCTGACTACTGGAATTTTTTTTTTCTGAGGGTTGTCTGTGATTTTTTTAAATTTTTATTTAATTTTATTTTTTTATCATTAATCTACAATTACACGAAGAACATAATGTTTACTAGGCTCACCCCTACCCCAAATCCCCCCAACAAACCCCATTACAGTCACTGTCCATCAGCAGAGTAATATGTTGTAGAATCACTACTTGTCTTCTCTGTGTTGCAAAGCCCTCCCCTTTCACCCACCCCCCACATTATACATGCTAATCATAAGACCCCCCTTCTTCTTCCCCACCCTTATCCCTCCCTACCCTCCCATTCTCCCCAGTCTCTTTCCCTTTGGTAACTGTTAGTCCATTCTTCAGTTCTGTGATTCTGCTGCTGTTTTGTTCCTTCAGTTT